CAGCACCTACATGACAGCTCACAACTGTTTATAACTCCATTTCCAGGAGATCTGACACCCTTACACAGATAAAAATTTGGACACAATATCAATGCACAGGGTCTTGTGAACACCATGCTGACCTCGTATTCTGAGTGGCTGTGTACGTCCTGAACACTGAGATCAGAGACTTGTAACAACACACAACTGGTGTATTCTGCATTGGGAATTGAGCCCTGGGCCTGATACAGCTAAGCAAATGGCCTATACATCTCAGCCCTTCAAAGTCTTCTGAGAGGGAAAGTTAGTATGAAAGACAAGGCTATGGTCCATCAAGTTACCATTGTATAATTCTGTGATTCATTCATAAGAGCTGGCTTTAAATTTTTGGAAGTATACATTATTGTATATCTAGTAGGGAGGGGTGGGTCTCTTTTTTTCTCTTAAACTTAGCAATATTGGGTAGGAATAAGACACAAAATAACCCTGTGAGTCCTCCTGCCCTCAAAGAGCAGTCTCAGTGAATGAAAGCTATAGAGGCAGGCCATGTAGGTGTGAGGAGTGTGAAACAATGACACCATCAGTCCCTGCTCACGAGTCCTGCCTGCAGAGGTCCAGGCTCTTGCAAAACTGGCTCTGGGTGGTAATTAATGCTAACTTGGGTTTTGATCAAGGAGGAAAGGGTGTTCTGCCATTGAGTGTGCAAGCGACTGCAGGAGAGTGAAAATAGTGTGTGCGAGAGAGATGGAGAGTTTAATTCCCCAGCAGGGTGAAAAGTTAGGCTTTAACAGGTGAATCACCAGATCTTGAGGAATCTCCTCTCATAGAAAGATGACATTGTAAGGTGCAGTGGGACATGCCTACAATCCTCGGCACTGCTTCAAGCAGGAAGGTCGTGGGAGCTCAGAATGACAACTGTCTCGACCAAACCAGATGTATTCTCTTAGCAAATGGTCAACAACACCATTTTAAGTGGGGAAAAATCAAATGTGTGTGTTGCACTTGTGGATTTAGAATTTGAGAAGGAAGCTGGTAATAAAGCATGTGTATATGATTAACAAAGATACCAGGGTACTATAGAGTCTCCTGACAGTCACCTTCTCATTCCTCAAATACAATTAGAATTTATTGTGGGTGTGGTGTTACAGGACTTTAATTCCATTTTGGGCAGATGTTTGAGTTGGTCTACATAGTGAATTTCAGGCTAGCCAGGGCTACATGGTGAGGCCCTTGCCTTAAAAATAAACCCATCAGAAGTAGAATTTCTGGGGATGGTGTTTAAGCCTCAAAAGAGAATACCATCATCACACAAGGGCACCATAGAGAAACAGGCTACAGAGGAGAGCTGTCTCCTCCATCAACTGTTAAACTTGGTGGTGCCAGTAGAAGAGTGGGAGGTGGCCTTGTTTGTCCTCACATCCTAGAAAGTGAGTTTGAGTTTTAAACTTAAAAGCAGGAAATTATTCTCTCTCAATATACTACTGTTCCTAGCAAGTTCTTAAACAAAAGCAGTACTGGATTTCATGTTTTTTTTTTTAATTAAGTTTACATATTGATGGTTGTTGAAAATGTCTTTTCTGCTGATTATCAAAAGGACTAAATCCTGAGTGAGGAAGGAGGTACTCGGTAAATTTTGTATTGTTAGTGAGTTAATAAGCTATGGTCAAGTGAGTATTATTTACAATAAAGTTAGCTTTTTCTCCTTCTCAAATGGTCTACACATAGTCTGCAAAGATGGAGGATAATTCCCCAAGGTAGAATGGTGAAAGATATTACTTCTTTGTTTTTTCTCCTATGCTTAATCACTTAAGTTATGCTAACACACCTTATTAGACATTTAACAGGTTGTGTCATTTTCCATTAACATATATCTTCTATAGTTTCTAGGTCTTTGGTTGCTCTAAATACCTTCTCCTCCCTCCCCCCCCCCCCATAAGGTCTCATGTAGGAAAGGCTGGCCCTCATTCTTTTTTCTGAAGATTTAAAAGGTTTTGTTTTGTGCCTGCATGCATGTATGTGCACTACTTGCATACCTAGTATGCACGCAGAGGCTGGAAGAGAGTGTAAGATCCTCTGGAACTGGAGTTAGAGACCATTGTGGGCCATGGTTTGGGTGCTGGGAGCTGAGCCATTTTTCCATTCCCTGAATTCAAATCCTGTGTCACTAGGGTGGGTTTGAACTAATGGCTTTCCAGTCCCAGCACCCCAGTGATGGGGTTGCAAGGCACAGCGCCTAGTTTTATGCACTGCCGTGGGTCAAACACAGGACTGTGTATGCATGCCAGACAAGCACTCTACCAATTGAGCTGTGTTAACACTGTTAGCAGTAGGTTCTCAACGGGTCACAGTAATTGTTTTAGTTCTCTAGTATTGACTCTCACTCACATTGCTGCCGTGGAGATCTCTTCATTCTGTCTGCCAGCCCAATAGATACTATACCTAAATTTTAAAGCCTGGACGTTCTGGGTTCTAACACACAGAACACATGCACACCCCTCCCACACACAAGCACACACCCCCACCCTCACCCCTCCACCCCACCCCCCGTGGATGTATCTCTCTGTAATGCATCCATAATAACAGCAGCTCTTGCCCCTTTTGAAAGATGTTAGGGACTGAGCCTAGGGCTATGGTAGGAAAACACTACAGTTTCTCAAACACTTTTTAGTTTAACATAGGGTCCCAGTACTTGGGAGGCAGAAACAGGTCTGTGGTGAGTTGGGAGGGAGCATGATCTACAAAGCAAATCCCAGGACAGCCAGCTCTACACAGAGAAACCCTGTCTCAAAACCTAAAACCCAGAGGCCTTGACCTTGAGACTCTCCTGTCTTAGCTGTCCTGGTCACTGCCATCATTATAGGTACGGGCTCAGCTCTGTTTATTTAACTTACTACAGTTCTCTTATATATAGTTCAGGGTGGCTTGTGTCCTAAGCCTTTACTTTTTACTTGCAGGAAATGTGTTAAATGCTTATTTGTGCTTTATGGACATTGGGAAACACTTGTAGTTCTTGTACGAGTCTAGAATTTTATTTAAGAATGCTATAGACCATCTTGGTTATGTTTTTAAAATGATGTCATATGTGTTTAGAAGGCTCACCCTCTTGCCCTATCTTTTTTTTAATATTTACTTTTGTGTGCTTTGGTGGGTTTTTGTTTTTTGTTTTTGGTTTGTTTTGCTTGCATGTGTGTCTGTGAGTGTTGGGTTCCCTGGAACTGGAGTTACAGACAGTTGTGAGTAGCCATGTGGTTGCTGGGAATTGAACCTGGGACCTGGAAGAGCAGCCAGTTCTCTTACTCTTAACAGGAGTTAAATATCCTGTCCCTACGTTAGTGCTTCGATGGAAGAGTCATTGTACCGTGCATGTCCCAGCTGTCTGCTGGTTTTTCAAGCCTCACTCTCTTTCAAAGCAAATAGTTGGACTTATTCTATTGGATTTGTTTCTATTGGGAAGTTTACTGTATACAGTAGTAGAATGGATGGCCTTGTGAAATTAAGGCGATAGGGTCGATAGAAGACGAGCTCCAAAGGGAACTGCAGCTCAGCTTCTTCTGTGCTTCACATCCTTCCTCCGTTTGCTTGTTGTTTGTTTGTTTGAGACAGGGTTGTTTCTCTGTATATTGTTTTGGAGGCTGTCCTGGCGCTCAGGACCAGGCTGGCCTCAGACCCGAGTGCTGGGATCAAAGGTGTGCCACCGCCCGGATCTGTATTTCACATTAGTAGCAGGTTTTTATACCACAGGTACGCCACACTGCTCCATGCTATATTTATTTGCTTTTTTATTGCTTAGTTAACTGTTGACTGCAGAAATAATGCAAAGCAGTATTGAAGGTGATGGGGATACAGAGTCAGCCTGGAGTGTTTGCCTACCTATTCACAGAATGAAGCCAAAGCTACTAATTAGGACAATATCACTGTCATTTAAGGTCACAGGGACAGTGAGTTGCCAAAGGGCACACATTCTAAAATAGATCATATTCTGTCATGTAATTTTTTAAAGACTGATTTTTGTATGTGAGAGTATGCATGTATGGGTATGTGCGTGGTTTTTTTTTTTTTTTTTTTTTGGGGGGGGGGGGGGGGGAAGGGGAGGATTCAGTTGCTCTGCACCCAGAAGATGGTGCTATATCCCCTAGAATTGGCATTAACAGATGCTGTGAGCACACCTGTCTATGCTGGGAATTGAACCCAAGTCCTCTGCAAGAGCAGCTAATGCTCGTAATCACTTGAGTGTTTTTCTTGCCCAGCCCCCAACCCCCGCCTTAGGCTGGCCTCAAACACACGGTGTAGTCAGATTTCCTTCTGCCTCAGCTTCACCAGTGGTAGATAGGTTCAAGCCACAATGTCTAGCCTAATTGCTATATAGGAATCATGCTAAGTAGAACTACAGTGAATACCTGCATGCCTCGTGGGAAGTAAAATTTATATTATAAAGACTCATAAATATAGGAATTTTTTTGCCTTATAGATGAGATAATATCTGTGACCCTAAAAGAGAAAGCATTTTGAAAGTTGACTGGAAGAATTATAACTGGGTGTGTGCATAGTGGAAGCTAATTTTCTTCTGCCACCTTAACATTACCACTAGTTTAGGTTTAATTGGCTTCATTGACTTAAAATGATATGCCTACTGTGTTAATACTCGGGTATTTGAAGTTTAATGAGAAGAGGAAGAAGGCCTCTGCTTTCCTATCAGAGATAAAGCAGACACATTTGACCCCCATAATGAAAGTATCTTAGAAAATAATTGTTCATTTTAAATTCACTTAATTCATATCCTTAGCTTGTATTTGAAGAGAGGAAGCAATGAGCTCTGCTGGGCCTCAGTGAGGGGTGGTTTGTGTTTTGTTTTCAGTATTGAGTTGTACACTTCATTCATTCCTTCAAGTGTTTAGTGTGGTGGGCATTTCTATCTCAAGGTATAATTATTCATGAATTGACAATTTGAGTATTCTTTTTAACTATTTGTTTTGACAGTTACGTTTAAAAAGTTAATGTTAATGTTTTCCCTCCTATTACAGGAGTCAGAAATGCCGTCAGAGGAGGGGTACTGTGACTTTAATAGTAGGCCAAATGAGAACTCTTATTGCTATCAGCTTCTTCGGCAACTAGATGAACAGAGAAAGAAAGATATTCTTTGTGACGTCAGCATCGTTGTGAGCGGGAAAATCTTTAAAGCTCACAAGAACATCCTGGTTGCAGGCAGCCGTTTCTTTAAGACTTTATATTGTGTTTCAAACAAAGAAAGCCCTAACCAAAACAATACTACCCACCTAGATATTGCTGCAGTTCAAGGATTTTCAGTCATCCTGGACTTCCTGTATTCTGGGAACCTGGTGCTCACAAGCCAAAACGCCATTGAAGTTATGACCGTGGCCAGCTACCTTCAAATGAGCGAAGTCGTGCAGACCTGCCGGAACTTCATTAAAGATGCCTTAAATATAAGCATTAAGTCAGAAGCTCCAGAGTCTGTGGTTGTGGACTATAACAATAGAAAACCAGTTAGTAGAGACAGCCTGGTGGCATCACGGGATCAAAAAATTGCCAGCTTTTGGGCAACACGGAACCTTACCAATCTGGCAAGCAATATAAAAATTGAAAATGATGGTTGTAATGTCGATGAGGGCCAAATAGAAAGCTACCAGATGAATGACAGTGACTGGGTCCGGGACCCTTCTCCTGAATTGACTGAAAATGAATCTCATGGTAAAACAAAAGTGTTTATTTGGAATAATGTAGGCTCTCAGGAGACAGGCAAAGCACGGAGGAAAAACCAAACTACAAAAAGATTTGTTTATAATATACCACCTAATAATGAAAGAGGGTTAGAAGATTGCTCAGTGATGCAGCCACCGGTTGCCTATCCAGAAGAACATAAGGCCTTACTCATCAAGGAAGAACCAGGTAATTATCATTGTGCAAAGGTATCTCGGTTTGCATTCCAGTGTGTGTGTGTGTTTAAAAGCTTTAGATTAGATAGTAATAGTGCTATCTTCTCAGAAGCCTTGTTAATAACTAAGCATTGCATATATGCTTTTGACTTAGGATAAGGTTACATCTATAAGTAAGAAATGTATTTAATAACAACCAGTTGTATGTCTGTTTAGCAAAGCATCCAACAAGAGCTCTATAAGACAAATGTCAATGAAAGTAAAATAGTGATTGATTGTAGAGCTTGCTTCTGTTTCACAACAATTTGGAAATTTTAAAGATTAAAATCTCTTAGTTGGACCCTGCAGGTTTATCCAGGGGTATGACTTCTGTTGGCAATCTCTTCACTATTTTACAGAGACTAGAAGGTAGTGTTGTTGTGTATTAGTCAATCACTTTGTCTTCGAAATATTTGTGAGTCTTAACAGTTTTTAAAATTTAAGTATATTTATTGCTATAGAGTTTTGCCAATTTAGAGATTGCTCTTAATTTGTTTAGAGCTACTCTGTTTAGCACAGGTCTTCAGAAGCAGGGATGTTTTTGTCATTGAAGTCTCATTGCTCTTTGTCTGGCTTAGGAGCTGGGTGGAGATAGTGTGCTTTTGGAGAATTTTTTTTCCCAAACATAAGCCAAAGAGGCCTTTGAAGTACATTCCCAGGAGTATATGCAACAGTCTTAGCATGTCATATTGGTGGTAAAAACCTTTTCAGAAAATGGAGTAAAAGGCAGAGTAGAAAGAGAATGAACATTTTCCTTTGCCTTGTTTAAACTGGGAAAGTTAGTCCTAACTTTGAAGCATCTGAGGCTGGTGAGGAGGTTTGTGCAATACTAATTGGGTAACTTAAAAAGCCTGTTTACCTCAAAGGCATTACCTCCATCCAGCATTTTGGAGGCAGAGGCAGGCAAATCTCTGAGTTCAACTTGGCCAGCTTGGTCTACTAAGTATTGCTCCATTATTACTTTTTGTTTGATTTTTGGTTTTTCAGAAAGTTGCTCTTTGTAGTGGCTCTCTGGAACTGTAGAGTAGGCTGGGATTAAAGGCACGAGACACCTTTTCTTATACCTTTTAAGAGTACAATCATATTAATCATTGGTAGTACCTATCTATACCTTTTATGTAATAAAAATGAAGTCCGTGGGAGGGGGTGGGGGAGATCAGAGGACCCGAGTTGAATTCTCAGCACGCTTTAATTCTAGCTCCTGGGACCCTGACTCCCTCTGTCTGTCACAGGCACTAAAATGAAAAGTGGTACACATGGATGCAGGTGGAAATAATAGATGTTTTCGAGCAGGAAGGACTTTATGATCAAGAAATAATAGTGTGAGCTGAAGCATGAGGTTGACTTTATTGTTTACTTATTTGTTTTTGGAGACATGGTCTCACTATGTAGCTTTGGCTGACCAACTGCCTATGTAGATCAGAGCTGGGATTAACAGTGTGCATTACCATGCCTGGCTGGATTTTTAATGTAAAGAACCAAACTATGAGCGAGGTATATTGCTGACAAAAAGCTATAATTTGTGGTTTGTAAAATTGAAAGGCCACATGTAAACAGAAGGCACTGTTTCCAGTGAAGATTTGTCGTTGGTCCTTGGCAAGAGAGTGACTCTCAGGATAGCTGAGGCCTTTAGAGATCCCGTTGAAGTTCAGTAATTTAGGGGAGGATCACCTAAGTTAAAGGTTTGATTATCTCTATTCTTTAAAATACATTGCTGTTTTTTACAGGGGCATATGAAAACCAAATGATAATCATAAAAGCACGTATCTGCCGTGGTCATGTCTAGGGCCCTTAAAGTTGGGAAAGACTTTTGAAGTTATAACAGTTTTCCAGGGCTATGTACTTTCCTCTGCCAAATGCTAGATAAATGGTCGTCGTGCATAGCTTGGCTTGTTTGAATACTGACAAACATGACCTTCCTTCTTAAGCAGCTTGTGTGTATGATAAGTGTTATTAGAAGTTGCCTTTTTATTGAACCAAAATTAACTTTAGCAATGCCCATACTCTGCCATTCTTAGTATAATTTGAACAAAATTTTAATCCCTTTAGTTGAATCAGAAATTTTAAATGATGACTCTGAGCCCATGTTTATCTAGCTTGAATGCTATTCCTTCTCTGTTGAATATAGAATATAAACTTGTATTACAAACTCCTGAAAAGTACTAGACAAATGTTTTGAAATCTACATTCATTACTTGTGAGAACCTTGAATGAAGGAAATGTGACTTCCTCCAGGCCATAATAAGTCTATGTAGTTTGTAACTGCAGCTCTAAAAAAATGTGTCATAATGTTGAAGCTGACATTGCATCTCATAACATTTTCTGAAAGTTTTATTGAGGTGGTACATTTTGATTTTTTTTTAAGCTATCGTATGTATGTGATATAACTATATACAGGAAATCATGAAGGGGAAACCTGGAAGACTTTAAATTTTTGTCCTTTCGCATTGAATTTATAGAATAAAAACTGAACTTGGCAGTCTAATAAAGGGAGGGAAAGGTCTAATAATTTCTTTTTAAAATCCTTTTCTTAGCTGGTTTGTTGCTGGGAAATTAATTTTTAACTAAACTAAGTGAAATCTAAAATTGAGTTACAAATTTATTTTTTCAATATTGAGCTTTAAACATAGGGCCCTGTAAATGCTAGGCAAAAAAAAAAAAAAAAAAAAAAAAAACTTTACTAATGACGGATACATTTAGTCCCTAAATTTTTATTTGCTAAACTCTGTCACAGGCTCATAGTAAGATGTCCTGGCTTTCCTTGAGCTCTGTGTATAGCCCAGGAAGACCTTGAAATTCCAGCCCTCCTGCCTCAGCTGTGAAGCATTTGGTAACTGGCATGTGCCACCACAACATGTATCTTTCTTTTTTACTATTATGTTTCTTTATTTTGCATGTTATATGTTTAGGGTAGCACAGTGTGCATTTGGAAATCAGAGGACTGTTTGCAGAGGCTGGTTCTCACCTTCCACCTCGTGGGTCCTAGGGAACCTCCTCAGGACAACAGACTTGGCAGTTTTTACACCCTGGGCCATGTACTGACCCTTTGACTCACATTTTAATTTACACGATTGCCTTTTAGTGAAATATAATTTGGTCTTAACAGTTTTGAGGAAACAGTGCTCAAGGCACATACCTTTAGGGAACCCTAATAAAGCACGTATCTGAAATTAGTAATTGCACTTAGAGTTAGTCCAGCCAGCATCTCTGTCTTCTATACTTGTGATATGGTGGTTCATTATTACTTTGGGCATTTCAATTCTGAAGTGATTTCTAAATCACAATTGTTCTTTAAAAATTAACACATTTGTCAAGGGCAGCTTAGGGAGCTCACAGGGGCTGAACTCCTGTCACGCCTTCACACACTGAGATGGTTGACATTCCATTAAGTGATATCTTTATGATAGGCATTTTTGAGGTCTTCCCTGTTTGACCTTGTAGAACCAAGGAATATTGGCTTTGGTGTGGTTCTGTTCCTTAAGAATTACTTGTGTACCTCAACCTCTCTAATGGGAAAGGAGGAAGTTGGTCATCTCAGGATTTAGACAGTCTGCATTGAGTGTATTGACTGCACATATGTGTATGGTTGGTGCCCATAGAAGCTCGGTAAGAATGAAGATGATTGTGGGCCCCCATGTGGATGTTGGGAATTGAAGCCAGCTCTCTGCAAGAGAGAGCAGCCAGTGTTCTTAACCACTGAGCCATCTCTCCTGGTTCTGTTTGCTTGGTTTTTTTTTTTTTTTTTTTCCCTGAGATGGTGCTTTATTTGTGTAGCGACCCTGGGCATCCTGAAACTCACCCTAGACCAGTTTTGCCCCTGAGTGCCACCGCCTGGCCCTCCTGTTTTTGAATGTCTGTGTCAGTGCATGTCCCCTCTTTTCCTTGTGCTTTAGAGGTGGATGGGTCTTACCTGACAGACCTGCTTGCCTAGTGGGCTGGATTGGCTGGCCAGGAAGCGCCAGGGATCTATCTGCCTGTCTCCATTTTCCGAGCACTGGAGTGTGTTTGACCCTTGCCTGCATTTTTATTTTTTTAAATTTGTTTTTCCCCCCTGGGGATCAAAATCACGTCCTTATGTTTGCAAGGCAAATGCTTTGTTAACACAGTAGTTTGAAATTTTTTATTCTGAAAGCTGTACTCTTGAAAAAAGTTACAATATAATAAGTAATACTTTTCCTGGGAAATTCCTTTCCATATCATGACGAATCTGAAAACATTTTAAATCTCAAGATATCAAGCCACTGTGGATGTTAAGATTAATTTATGAGTAGTAATTCATGGTATATTGGGTGAGAGGAGCTAGAGGGAAGGTCACACTATGGGAGGAGGGCTGAGGGCGCAGAAGGACAGAAGGGACCAAAGCGGAGGCGGTGGGAAGTGGGTGGGGGTGGGGATTTGTTGGAAGAGGAAGAAACGTGTATGGCAAGGAGGCAAGAAGCTGGAATGAACGCACGAGAATAGAATAACGAGCGGAGTGTTTAGGACTAGATTATAATTGTATGTGTATGCCAGAGTATCAGTTGTGAATTTTGTTTTATGACTTGGGCAGCAGAGGTTTCTCAAGTAGAGATTTGATCTGTTTGGTTAGAATTGAGTTGCAGAGTACACTGAGGACGGACGGCGTGTTGGCAGAAGTATGTATGTATTTGAGAAGGAGGAGCTATGTGCACCCAGATGAGCAAGACAGGGCAGTCAGTGAGTCTGCGTGAAGGAGAGCAGGCACTCATTTACAACACAGATGTGAGTGAAGTTCCTGAATAGGAGGAAAGAGAAAAGGAGTCTCTGTGCCTGTCTATGAAGAAAGGGAAAGAAACTATATGCAGGTATTTCATATCTATGACCATAAGTTATGAACGGTATGTTTACAGGAAAATGGAACTTTGTGTTGATAATAGTCTCTAAGGAGTTTTTGTACAATGGAATTTTAGCTATTTTTTAAAAAACTTCACTGCTATAAACTCATACCTCACTCTT